CTGTTCCTCTCTTTCTTCTCTTTCCACTTTCAGTTTCCCTTCATCCACAGAAGCTGTTCACCCCTATTTACAGACGTCCAGTCACTGCTCTATAAACATGACCTTGTACAAGTCATTTTCAGGATTATTAGCTGCGGAGTATTAAAACTGAAGCCAATATGTGTCAACAGAGGGTAATTGCTGTCTTATTAACATTTGAAAACTGCAGCCCTACAGTCCCTACATTCAAATTAAAGAGGAGGGCACACCAGAAGTTTTTTATTTTTTTAACTAAACATTCATCTCACATAACTGCAAAATGTTTATGAAGAGCACATTCTTGTTGGAGATTTGTCAGTCTTACATAAACATCCATGTTCCAGACCATGGATCATTTTTGAAGTCGATCAATATGCCGCATTGAGAGAGAGACATGTCAGAGTTTAATCTACAAAGAAATCTTTAATGCAATCAATAACGTGTGAAGCTACATTAACTGAGAATAATAAACAAGCCATCAATGACAGCAATATTAATTGGAACAAAGAATAATATAGTTGTGTAATGAGAGTTTCTGGCTGGTCCAGACTAAGTCAAACATCCATCTTCAGCTTAATTCCTCCCTTAACACCAGCCCTCAGTTTCAGGGAATTGAGCTGGAGCTGGTGCACATTCACCGCCTGCTGGAAGTTTGCAGCTGAATATTTCACCAGAGCTCCATCATCCACTACTGTGCTCTTCCCTTTCTCTTCTATTTGCCCTCTATGTATGCTGTACAGGTCTCTTTTTATACCTGGAATCAATCCCCCTGGACCGCCATTGAAAAGGATGGAGGACAACCAGTTATTGATTTATTTGCTAAGAACAGATAGAGAGTAGACATAAAAGAGACACCATATATTAGACATGAATCTGAATTCCCTCAAGTGAGGTTTACTTTGTCAAGAGAGCAGGAGTAAAGATTGTGAGATGGTTTAGTAGAGAGAGAGAGAGAGAGAGAGAAGCAGTTACTCATGACAGAGGGAGTCTGACAGACAGTGAGTGAAAAAGAAAGGGCAACTAAAAATTCACACAGAAGACGGAAAAAAGAGAAAAAGATGAAAAAATAACCCAAACATCACTGGTGCACTGGAGAGCTCTTGGGGTTGCTGTAGATAAACTGCATGGAAATGTAGTTTGTTTACAGCCACCCAGACTTAATCTACCTCAAAGACCTACATGACCCTACTTAATATTGCTGACCTTCGCTCGGGCCGCTATAAATATCCCTTCTGTTCCTGGCCATTAACTGACCTCTGAACTGTGACTCCCTTGCATTATATAAATTTGTGTGTGAAGCTCGCTGTGTGCTAACATACACAATATCCTATGGTAAACAGGGAGGCGAGCTGTTAACAGCCCTAGAGTGAGCATCTTATTGCCACCAATAAGGGGGCAGCTCCAGCTTGCCTTATAAACAACTGGTAAAGGTCACTGAGCGATGATTGTCAGTTTTAACACATCTGTTATGTTCGCTATAAAACCCTCCATTACATCCGCAGTGCACCAAGTAATGATGGAACAAAAAAAAAGTCAATAACACGTTATTTGTATTAGGTGCCTGCATAACTATGATTAAACCCCCTCTTCTGTATTGAATCGTAATTATTGGCCACATTTATATTTCTGCTTAAAAAGTCGAAGATGTCAAGCTGCTTATTAGGCCACTGAAGTGTCTGTGTCTTCCCAGCACTATGTCTCTGAAGCTAAGCAGGCGTGATGAAACATGGCACATCAGCGACTGCCCAGAGAGTCTAGACAAAGATAAAGAAGCAAAACACTCACCTCATAAGGCTTTACTGAAATTACGCCCACAGGCAGCATGTCTACTTACTGGAACAAAGCAAAGGTGAGGTGCAGGAGCTCAGGGCTGCACAAACCCCAGCTGTTTACAAACAAGTCAACTGAGCAGACACTGATCGACTGCCTCCTGTCTGACGCTGAAATCACCTTTCTCATCAGTCGTGAACCAGCGACGGAGATGTTTCAAGGCAAACTACGGGAAATTTGTGTTATTGTTTTAATAATCGAGCCGAGACAGAGAAGTTTCTGCCCATGTGCCGTCTAAAGATAGACACCGTGCCTCGCTCCGCTGTGGTCTGCATGGCTGTGAAAGTGGATTAAACAGGCTTTAACATCAAGATGAGCTCTAATGAAACCCAATGGGGGAGTTAGCCCGTCTGTTTGGCCAGCTGACTCCTGTAAAATTCCCATCACTGTCTCCTGTTGCCTGCTCTAAAAGTAGCCTGGTGGTGCCACTCAGTGTCTGCCCGACCCCGAGGGTTAAATTGTTTGATGCTTTTGTCTGTAACAGCAGCTATTCCACCTAATCATTCACATTTATTTTCTTATTATGAGGTTTTTTTATCCTCACTTTGGGAAATACAGTTAATTTGTTTTCTTAGAGCAAGTTTAAAGCCACAGATGTAGCCAATTAGCTTAGCACAAAGACCATGGGGACAGCTAGCCTGGCTCCGACCTCAGGCCAAAATCTCCACATAAATGCACCTTCAAGGCTCATTCATTAATTTGTGTCCTGTTTTGATTATTCCTTTCGAAAACCTAAGAGGATAATCAAAGTTATAGATTTACATGTGGTTTTATAGAAGTTTAAGTTTTTTGAAGCTACACTTTGTTTTCTTTCAAGAACCCCACAAATAAAAATCCAGTTTTCAACTTTGTTAACCTGTCTTGTTTTTTAAATGATGCAAGAAACACCGTGAGTGAAACAGGTAGTCAAAATCATAGCGGAGCATTTGTTACCTTGGAACTGAAGATACAGACAGCCAGGGTTTCATATGTCACAGATTTAAAGAATGAATCCCATCAACTTGTACGGAGGCGTTTTACAAGCTAAGTTAGCTCGGTAGCTAAGTAACAACTGGCAATTGGGACTGAGGATTAGTTAGCATTAGCTGCATATCAACTGTATAATAAGCTGAAGGCTAACAACATCAATAACCACCATGTTTCATAAGTTGTAGAGAGTGATATATAAAATACCCCCCATTCCATTTTTTTTTCAATCAAGCATATTTAGGGTACTGACGTCGATGAGTGTGTGAACTTTGGTGCAGCCTGATTGAATTGAAGGGGAATGTGCTCGTGAAAGAGCCATTATAGTTCCCTAAAGAATTCTTGCCTCCCATGCGTGTGTTCCCGGCCAATGCAATGGCTTTACCCAATTTCCCCTTGGAATTAAGAGGGTATATGATTTTTTTAAATTGTCCCCTGTTGGTGCTACCTTCATGATGATAGTAACACATTAATGAAGACGGTGGCAATACAGACATGGAAAGTGTTTAGGTTGCTGGACAGAGCCAGACCAGCTGTTTTCCCCGGTTCTCTTCTGGCTGTATCTTCATATTTACCACACAGACATGAGAGTGGTATCGATCTTTGTCTCACACTCTCATCAAAAGAATGATGAGCGTCTCTCCCTATGAGGTTAACAACAGTAGGCTATTTCTTTAATTAATGAACTGAACTTGACTCTAAATTCCAGTAAACTAAAGCACAGTAGTATTATCCCCCCTCAGCAGTGAATTACGAATTGGTTAGCTTACACTTCTCAGCAGCGTGCATCATTATTTCAGCAGCATCAGTACATATTCACAAGCTTGGGACTGATACAATATAAATGCATCAGCATCTGCCAACGCAGCACCCACATCCAACAGGTACATAAGCAAAGACATTTTCAGCCTATACTTGGAGCCATCTACCACTGTCACCGGTGGCAGCACCATCAATGTACCGTCCTCCACCCCCAGTCCATTTGGGAGAGTCATAACGAAGATCAATACGGTGGTAGCACAGTGCAAGACAAATCCATCTATCAGGAGAGGAAAGCCTGAAAAAAAAAAATTCTCAGACAATACATCAAGCAAAGGGAGCCCCGATGCTGTCCACCTCTCACTCTCATCCTCTTCTGGTCTGAATGTCCTCCACTGCGTTTCTCCCCACAGCAGGCAGTGGAAAGTCACAATCATCTAAACACATTCCCGCTCCACCTTTAAGAGACTAGCAATAGACCATGACACCGAACTGGACTACAACGTTCCCTAACAATGGCTGTGTTGATATATTGATATGAAAACATGCTGGTCCTGTTGATACATGCAACATATTAAAATGTTAAACTATCACGATTTGCAGCCACTTTGTGATTCATGTACTGCTGCTGCGTTGTCAAACTCACACTCTGCTGCTGCTGCTGCGATGAATAACTGCAGCCTCGGAGTAAAAGGAAAATATTTGCACCATGGCACAGATGCCATTCGCTCTGCTCTTACTCATTATCCAGAACAATGTCAAAGTACACCCAGGTCACACAGAGGGAACATTCCTTTACATTTCCATCTATGGACATCATAAATAAACACTCACCCCAATTCATGAAAACCTTCTACTTGCCATGTAGAGACACATTAATATCCTCTGTCCACAATAATGAATTAAGCAAATACTTACACATTAAGCAAGAATACACTTTAAGGAACAACCCATTAGGTGGCAATGCTTATTCTTCTTTTTTATTTAACCATCACTTTGAGGAAGAGGAGATACGAAAACAAATATCTTTACCTTTTGTTAATGAACTTTACAAAGAGCATATTCGCTTGAGAAGCCGCACGGTCCTTCAGGGGGAGATGCAGAGCGCATGAGGGCTGGGCAGGGATGCTGAGCCGCGCAGCGAGAGGGAACACGGGCACCACTTGTTTGCCAAAACTTCCATTTAGACAAAAATCACATCAAATAGGAGCTTTCCTCCACAACCCTGTGTATATGATGCGTTTTGGATGCATGCAAAAAGCAACCACTGTATTCTGTGTCGTGCGTAACTTCAAAACGCAGCGTTGTGCAGCGCAAACGTGTCACAATTACGCAGCTGTAAAATCGTTCCTGGGAGCGGGAGAGCGAAATTTTACGTTGACCAAATATTTCTAAAACTTTCCGTGTCCAGTGTTATTTGCACATACCTCATAGCACTCGCAGATGCGCTGGTTAAAATCAGCGCCAGGAGAATTTGGCAATCCAGTCAAAGTTGTCTTCGCTCCATGTCTGGCACAGCGGCTGTGTACGGCAGTCCAGCCCGGTCACGTCTGACTGCCTAACGGAACACGGTTAACGAGGCTCGCCACCCTCCACCGTCACCGAGCCGAAGATTAGACGGCGATGTGGCGCGCACGGAAGGATCTCCAAGGAGAGTCTGTGCGTCAGGATTGGTCGGAGCGACCGTGACGCACCGGCAGGTGGCACACCCGGCGAATAAAAACGTCCAAATTCATTCATAGATGATACCTCTGGTACACAATAGGGACTCAAAAGCGCGCGCACACACACACACACACTCACACACACACACACACACGCAGAGCCATAACCAGTGAACCTAAACACACTCCACATCTAAACCTTCACTTGACTGAATTTAGAAAGGACGTCATTTTTCCTTGTTTTTTTCTAAATTCTGGAAGTTAATAAAAAAAAAAACCCTGCTTCTATTTTTCTTTCAGCAAATCATTTATTATGAAGAAGCCAAAATAAGTCTCATTAATATGTTTTTAAATGATTTACATCCACTAATGGGGCAGAGGAGCTCTCTTAAGTTGCAAATAAAGAAGGAGACAGAGAGCAACATAAAAAAAATAAGAAGAGCAGCAGCAAAGGTGCAGTCAGGGTTCAGGGATAGCTGCAGACAATTACACATGAATAAAAAATTTAAAGGTGTTTAATCAAAACCCAAGAATTTTCACTCCAATTATTTATGTCACAGAATGTGACAAAAAGGAAATGAGGCAAGTGGAAAGAGTGTGTTGTGACATTTGTCCGAGTGTAATTCAGGGAGCCAAAGCAAATGTTTTAATATTTTTTCATACAAACAAATAAGGAGTGAGAGGTAATCCTCGGAGGAATGTGTAAGCCAATTACAGCTGGCTGCAGGGGCTGGAGGAATGGAGCCTCAGAGCCTCCTGCTCAGACTCACTGCAGTCCCTTGGACCACATCCCCCCCCCCCCCCCCCCCCACTCCCAGTGCACGGGCAATAATTCTATGAAAATATAGAATGTTAGAGACATGAACGGCACATTGTTCTTGCTTCCTCCAACATTTTCCGATCCTCTAATCCTAAAGCCGTGTAGGCTGCTTGAAACTTTCCCATAAGTGGCTTGTTTGCATCCAGTGAATGGGGAACCAGTTGTCTCCACTGGTGTGTATACATAAGTGTGTGTGTGTGTGTGTGTGTGTGTAGGCTTATGTAATATAGCGTCTGGTGTAGGAAGATGAGCAGGATGACAGTTGTTGATCTGGTTCGTTAATGTTGTGGAGTTCATGCAGGCTGCGCTGTGTCACACATCCTACAGCCTCTAATCTGCAGGTATTTAAAGAATCTTACTTTATGTAAAGGAGCGAAGCAAAAGACACATAAATCAAAGCAGAAACTAGTACCACTGGGCTGACAGAGCAGATATTACAAATGACATAGGGGACACTGGTGATAACCTCCAGTGGAGGCTGCATCATATACATCGCACCTGAGGTGTAAACCACATGCTAATAGAAAAATATGAAATTAAATAAAGTGCTAACCCGGTGAGCAGTTCTACTCCAGCAGACCTGCTATGTGGGCCTCGATAAACTCACACTCTAAGCCGAGCCTCAACATTCACTTTCCTGCAATTTCACACTGTCTGATTCCACAAGAACTGCATGAACACACTGATAGTGTAGCCCACTAGTCCACAGAGACAGTTTTCACTTCATAATGGCCTCAACCACAACAGCTCCCCCTCCTCTCAAGAGCATCATCAACATTTACACAGAAATAAGTTTACATTTAAAAGAAAACGCAGTGCCAGACAAAATTATACAAATCCATGGTTTTGGAGACAATCAGAACTACGGTTAAGATGCTCACAAAAATGATGCTTCTCCTATTCTGATTGCTTCTCCAGGAAACTAAATTCAGTGAAAAAGAGAAAGAAGAAAAAAAGCCTTGAACACAACGTGGACCACAGGGCACCGAGTGCTGCCAACCGCGAGACCAAGATGGAGTCAGAAAAAATAAACCACCAGAATTCGCACCCACAAAAAAATTTATGATCGAGAATCTCAAAAGCTACAAGGACATGGTTTATCACATCGGGAAGTATGTCAATCTTATTTGGATGAAAGTTATAGATATTGTTGATTTAAAGCAGATTCAACTGCTCCAATGTTTATAAAAACACACAGTATCTAATGTGTTCTAGTTCTTATTGGACTTATTACACTAAACTAGACTTATTTCCATTTTAAAAATGACACAATCCAATAAATAAAACATAACAAAATAAAATTAAGTCAATACAGTGCTGCCAGTAAAGCTCATCACTGAGTCTCTAGAAAGAAACTACTCCTAGTGTCTTCCACACAAAGGCAACATCAGTATGACAATAGCATGAAAGCTAATGAAAAATTAACAGAAATGTTTCAGAGATGTAATATTCTCCTGTGATCTTGTTATTTGTGGATAAGAAACAACATTCTAATGGGAAGATGCTCGAAAAAAAAGAGTAATTCAAATCCAGAATGGCTTCAAATGAACTGGGTAGGGTATATTTCATTTTTAATAATTTGTCTTTAATTTAGTCGAAACAGGAAAAAAAAGAAAGCCACAGCGTGAAAACATCACGCATCACTGCTTCAAATCATGAAATGTTTTATAGGCACCACAGTCGGGGTTATTCGGGTTCATACTCAGAGGAAATATCGCCTGCTCGAGTCTACGTTTCTGATTTCACAGCATGAGTAATTTCCACTGATGATCACAGCTCAGAAAAACTGTTTATGAAGTTTCAAAACCTCGTGTTGGTAAATAAATCAGGAAAAATCCATCTGCACTGATTTAAAAATGACTATGTAAAACTAATTATCACAGTTTTAACACAATCTGTGTTTTAATATGCACACGAGCAGATTCTGCACAAAACATCAATATTTGTTTTGACAATGCTCAGGCACTGGTGCTGATGACATGTTGAAGTCCACCAGTCTCTGATTTTCTAGAGGGCTTCTCAATTTTGAAAGCATGTTATTTTTCTGAAAAATAATTAGAAGCTAACACCCTTGGGCTGATTTCTGTGTGTGTGTGTGTGTTTTTTCTGTGTCTGTGTCCTTCCCTGACATGTGCAATGAGAGATGAACATCTGAATATCAATGAAGTGTTGGATTATCAAGCTTCCCCAGCTCCACTCTGCTTTGTCATCTTTTCTCTTTCTTCCAACTTTTATACTTCTGCTCACTTTTTCTCACCTCGAGCGCACACACACACACACATTCGCTCCAGCATTTCTCCTTTTATAGGCGTCTCTTTACTCCCGTCTTCATGAGTAAAAACATAATCCTCTCACTTCGTCCAAAGAATTCTACGTTTTCGCCGACATTTTCGCACTGACCTTGATCACAGCCCGACTTGTCATCTCCGCTGTCATCCCTGTGCTTTGGCAAGTTGTTAGCAGAATATACAAAAAGGCCAAATCTCATTCAGCGTCCATGCAGAACTTATTTGCCGAACGGCCTGTCAACAGGATTCTCAGTTCTTTACCATTAAAGCTCTTCAAAGTGAAGACTGGAACACAAAATATCTGGCAGCATATTTCCCATTACTGCACTACACATGGTTTATAACTCCTCGTACAAACTCAAGATAAGAATAAATTACTGGACACACGACAGCGTGTTCCATGAGGTTGTTAACCCTCCGGAGCCGTATGTGTTTGGGCCATTTTTTCATTTGTCATTATTTACCATAATAAATATAGGTATTTTTTTTTCAGTGCAAGATTCCCCATATGACCATACAATTAATTTCCCACTTTGACATAACCTAGATATATAATATACATATTGGACACATAATACACAAGAGGTTAGAAGCCTTGGCGCTGATAATTCTCTACCACTCTGGAGAGTTGGAAACTGTATCAGCCAAATTATAGGACGATATTTTCTTCTAATACTTAATTTAAAAAAATAGGTTGATTTATATTTTAGGACGACACTCATTCACTACAACAGATATTCTCTGAGTGGAGCAAGTACCAGTAACTATGATCTTTTACAGTGTGGGTTGTTTGTAGCCTTAATGTTTATCGGTGATCAAGTCTTTTAAATTCTGTCTATCGTGAGTCTCTTAGTGTTAATCAGCCTTAAAAGTGTTTGGTTGGTTCGGTTTAACTTGCACGTGTCCCTGAAGTCTTGTTCTGCTGCCACAGAGGAAATAAATTCATAACGAGTGAAAACAAGTTCTTATTGTCTCCTGACAATTTTGTAGCAGAAATTAACCCTGGAGAAAATCTGTCAAACAAAGACAAGAATTACATCTGTCACAGATGACCAGCTTGAAAAGCTGTTTATTATTTCAACATGGAAAACATGGAAATAAAGAAAGTTAGTGTCCTTGTATTGCAGCCTAGATGTAGTTAGTCCTCGTCAGTAAATGCTGTCTGTATAAATAAATAATAAAACATCCGCAAGTCTTAAGTTCATTTCTCCACGACTGACAGATGCCCACGCAGTCTCAGCTGAAATCAATGACATCGCTATGACATCCGCTTCCTCTCATGAGAAGCAACTTTTGGAGGAGTGCTCCTCTAAAACCACAACATCTATAAGATAATTAAATCTCTCATCACCTTGATTCACAGCCCAAAACAATTTGAAGTCTCAGTGACCACATGCTTTCATTGTCAGACTGAAGGTGAAGACGCCGCCGCTGCCGGTTCATTGTGATGCATGTTGCACGGTGTCCTTCGTAGAATAGCTCGCAAATTCTTCTCAATGTAATCAGATCAAATGAAAATTATACTGCTAAAGCAGAGTGGGGAACAACTGTGCTTACGAAAGCATCACTTAGAGGCGGCATACAAAACAGAGCCAGGCAAACACAATCAGTCGCCCCAAGCGTTCCTGTCTCACCCTGTTTCTCCATGTCCTGCCACAAGTCAGCAGCTATTCAGTCAGAACAAAAGTCAGATTATGGAGGGGTTTTAATTACACTGAAGGCATAAGCTAATTAATTATCACTATCAGCGGTATGGAACATCCCTTCAGATAAAGAACATGAATCTAATTATCTTTTGACCTCTCTCTCTCTCTCTC